ATCCAGAGGGCAGAAATTTCTTATCCCCTCAATACCAGCATATGAACTCATACTGAAAGGGAATTGAAACTTGGCTATGGGAATAAAAAGCCTCCTGTTCCCACGGGAAGCTATTTAGATGAAGGGCACACATCAGGAGACCTCCTTCCAGCTCGGAGGGACATCCAGATTGCTGCCTCCCCCCACTCCCAGAATCCCCTCCCCCAAATGCAAGGTGACAACCACGGCTGTCCTCTGGGGAGGAGTGACCCAGGGGCTAACATTCACTAGACCCTTCCAAAAAGACTTGGCAGCTGTGGCATCTCGAGTCAGGCCCAGGCAGTCTGAAACCCATGACCTTTAAAGGTCATGTAGGCTGAGGACACATGACCCTATAAAGTTTCAAAGAATATCCGCTACCCAAAAAGACATTCTGACAAGACATCATACTAGGGAAAAATAAAGAGGAGAAGCACAAAGATGTCTTTACAGATTTTCAGGTGTTATTATCCCTTTCCTCTCAGATTCAACAGCCACAAAACAGAAAAAAATGCTTCAAAAACAGTCATCTATTGCTCTGTTGAAAAAAAAAAAAAAAACGATAAACATTAAAATACTGTGTCTGTCTGAAATATAGGACAAAAACACAAATAGTTGATAATGTTGTCGAGAATCGGAGAGGGGAAAAGTCGCGTCTGCAGAATGCCGGGAGGGGAACCGGAAATTTAGGGATTTATTCCCAGCCCTAGAAAAAACTAGGCTGGGGGACAGAGTTCGTGCTTTGGACCCTGTTTCCGATCCATTTAGAACACTCAAAGGAAACCGGTCCCCCAGGAAGAAATTCAGGGACTGGGAACCCCGCAGGCCGCAGTCCAATCCACGCGCGACCTCCCAAACCCGCGTGGGGACCGCTCCCGGGCGACCCTCCCGCCGCCGCCAACGCACAATCTGGGGACACCCGCGGGTCGGGACCGAGGTCGCCGCGCAGGGGCCGGACAGGACGCCGGGGGCCGGCTGCGGCCCGGCCCCACCCTCCGAGGCCGCGGGGACCGAAGGCGAGCTGCGCCAGCGGCCACTCGGGTCCGCAGGACTCCAGAGCGGCCGCGGGGGAGGCCCGGGTCCGGCACAGCCGGTTCCGGCCGGTTCCAACCAGCCCTCACTCCCCGCCTGGGACGCCGGGGCCCGCAGCAGTCACATCTCCCGGCTTCCGGGGGTGACCTGGCGCCTCCTGCGGCTCCCGCGCTGTGCAGCCACAGCGCGGCGGGAGCTGTGGCTGGCGCCACCGAGGCCTCTCGGCGAAGCGGGAGGACGAACCCGAGTCTGCGACGCAAGAAAGGAAGACCCGCGGGAGTTGTTGAACGTTGCCCCTCCCCCTGCGGCTCCGGATTGGGAACAGTGCGCGCGGGCCCCGCCCGCCTCCTCTGATTGGATAGTTCATCAGGGCCCCGCCCTGCAGCATTCTCTTCCCCCTTGAAGGATTGGAAAGCATTATTATAATAGATTAACTGAGTGAACAACAGTGAGGAGTTTGTGAGGAGATTTCATGGACAACATTGCCACATGCATACATGGTGGAGCTCAGTGGAGAGTTGCTGCTTTTCATGACTGACCTGGGACATCTATGATAAAGGATCCAAGAGTCAGCACAACTGACTTTCATCTTAGCACTGGCCAGAAATGAGCCCCATTTGCACGTTTACAGATACTTGGGTGATTGCATAAGTGTTTCCCATCTGTAGTAAAATATCTGTTTCTTATGTCACAGATACCCAAAATATAAATCTAGGTAATATGTATCTCTACATATACTAAGTCTACAATGCAGGGATGCTCATCCACCTAGTTCCTGACAGTGCTGGGCTCCTGAACAAGGTGTTGGATGGAACTTTCTCCTCCCTTCCCAGTCTTAGGCTGAAGACCTCATAATGGCTTACTAAAAAAGTTTAATTCAATTCCATGAAAGATCACATGGTGAGCGTCTAGTTATTCTTCAGGGGTGAATTTGTCATGAGTCTGTCTTCATTTTTTTCTTCCCTAATAGACGTTATGTTTTTAAAGAATGATTCTAAATTTACAGAAGAAATGATTAGTAAGTACAGGTGTTTTTCCATGTTACTTTTCTGTCTCCATTTAGTTTGCCCTATTTTTGGCATCTTGTATTACTGTGGTGCATTTGTTAAGATTGATGAATGAGTATTTATTCATTAACATCCACAATTTACTTTAGAGTTGACTTTCTGTGTTGCACATTCAGTGGGTTTTGACAGTCAAATATGTAATGATGTGTGTCTGTTGTTTCTGTATCATATAAAATAGTTTCACTGCCCTTAGGGTTCTGTCACTTAGCAGTATGCTTTTAAGATTCCTCTGTCTTATTATCATGGTTTGATATTAATACCTTATTGCTTTTTATCATTGAGCAATAATTTCATCATATGGATATATTACAGATTATTTATTCATTTGCTTATGAAGGATATCTTTAATTTTTGGAAATTTGGATATCTCTAATTTTTAGAAATTATGCATAAATCTATAAACAGGTTTTTGTGCAAACATAAGTTTTCAACTTAATATATTGGTAAATACCAAGGAGTGTGATTGGTAGGTCCTATGTTAAGATGATGTTTAGTTTTATAAGAAATTGACCATCTTCCAAAATAGGTGTACAGTTTTCCATTCCTACCAGTAACAAATGAGGGTTCCTGTTGCTTCACATCTTTCCCATCATTTGGTACTTTCAGCATATTCAGTTTTAGCCATTCTAATAAGGGTCATATTAGTCTTTCATTTTTTCATTTGTAATTCTGAAATGACAAAAATGTGCATGCTTTCATATGCTTATATGCTATCTGTATATCTTTCTATGCAATCATGTCTTACACAACAAAGACAATTTTATTTCTTCTTTTTTTTGAGACACAGTCTCACTCTGTTGCCTGGGCTAGAGTGCCATGGCATCAGCCTAGCTCACAGCAACCTGGGCTCAAGCGATCCTCCTGCTTCAGCCTCCCAAGTAGCTGGGACTACAGGCACGTGCCACCATGCCCAGCTAACTTTTTCTATATATTTTTAGATATATAGAATTCAATTAATTTCGTTCTATTTTTAGTAGAGATGGGGTCTTGCTCTTACTCAGGCTGGTTTCAAACTCCTGACCTTGAGCGATTCTCCCACCTGCTAGCCTCCCAGAGTGCTAGGATTACAGGTGTGAGCCACCAAGCCCGGCCCATAACTGTTACTTGTTCCCAGTGGTGCTCAACATTTGGGATTATCTAATGGTCTTTCTAATTAGTGTGAACTAGGGTCTACTTGGCATTTTATTTGGCTATTTTATCTTCTATTAAAAGAGGAATATGTTTTGGTTATATTGCATGTATTACTGATATTCGTCATCCACTTAGTTGTTTGTCTTTTAACTCCCTTAATTTTAATACATTTGATCTATCAATCTCTTCCTTTATGGGTTACAGTCTAGGTCAAGAAAAATTTACCTGTGACTTTGAAAGTGTTCTGGCTTTATCTTTCATATACAAATCTATAAATTTATTATTGCCCCTGGAATAGAAGGAAATACAGTATACTTTTCCAATTAGGTAGCAGTTTTTCCCTGCCCATGTATTTAGTCACTGCTCTACAATGCCTGTTCTGTCATTAACCAACTTTCCATATAAATGCCAGCACATTGGTGACACTCTCTTTCCCTTGGGCTATTTATTTATCCCTCTGCAATATTTTATTTTCAGAATTCTTGATAAAGATTAGGCAAGCCATCATGATGTTCTTCAGAAGACTTTATTGTTAGACATTCATTATTCCTGTTAGGTTTAGAGAAGTACTTTTTATTGATTCTTAATCTTTTGGGGATTTATAGAATTTGGAAAATATTTTGAAAAAGGGGATATCTTGGGGATATTGAGTTCTTTCCATGAACTCATCTTTCTCCTTATTTCATTTTGCTTTGACATTATACAATGGAATGTCACATAAGGATTGGTCATGAATCATTCCCCCCTGAAGTCAGAGAAAGAAGATGTTCTATTCTTTTGGGGGAAAGCCCTGCTAATCTCTTTATCATTATATAATCATGAGCAAATTCACCATTAAATCATATGGATTTAAAGGAAATCCCTTTGAAATTGCAGCTCTTAATCTGTTCCTCCAGGTCAGCAAGGCACAGGGTATATTGTTGGAGATCTACCAGAAAAAGTTCTGGTATTTTGTCTTCTCAGTATATCTGTGCTAAAAATGGGTGGAAAACTGCCCCATGGCTCATGAGTATATGGATTTTTTTCAGGGGGTCTAAGTTACTGTCTTCCTCATGCCTGAGTTCTATCTTCTCAGTATCTTCCTAGCCTCATGAAATGAGACATAATGAAAGGAAACACTGAGTTTATAATAAATATTACATATGCAAGGTAAAATTAATACTTCTGCAGAGGAATATTTTTATTTAGCCAGCTTGATCTGACTACTTCTGATGGCCTGGAGTCCTTCAGGAAAGTATGGACAGCTGGACTTTTTCACAAGGTGGATTTCTACAGGCCACCTGGCCTCTCCTGTTTGGTGAAGGGAATAGAGGAAAATGCTTCTACTTCTTCAGTGTGTATTCATGGAAACTTCATTCAGGTTTCACTTTGTGTTTCATGGAATGCTGAGTGTTGGTGTGTGATCTGAAAGGAAATGGAAGAGTTTTTTGCACAAGGAATGATGGTCTTAAAATTTGTTTTCTTTGTATAGCATTTCCTTCATTTCTCCAAGGTGAACTGGATCCTGCCATTAGAGATCAATAAAACTTGTAGTGACCACAATAAAAACATGGACATCAGTTCCATGTTTTCATAGTGCTATTAAATTTATGAGGAAGTGAGTGTGGACAAAGTTCTCATAAATCATGTTCATTCATAATAAAATGAATCTTTGGGAAACACCAAATTCTTTCTGAACTTTTATGAATTTCGTATACATCCCTGTTCTGTTGTCTCACCCTTCCTCTATTAAACATGTGTGGAATGTTTTAGGACTCAGTGGCCTCTGAGGATGTGGCTGTGAACTTCACTCTGGAGGAGTGGGCTTTGCTGGACCCTTCCCAGAAGAAACTCTACAGAGATGTAATGCGAGAAACCTTTAGAAACCTGGCCTGTATAGGTAAGGATGACATCATTCCTACTCTTTGTCAATTAGAGAAGTGTTTATTGCTCATTAACACTGTTCCATGATGTTGAATATGGAAAAGGGAATACTTGTGTTAATAAATCAGGTTTGTTTGCAGCTCATCAAGAACCTAAAATGTAATCACTTTTTTGTAATTTCTATCAGTTCATAATAATTTTTTCTGACAATATTTTAGGAAAAAAATGGGAAGACCAGAACATTGAAGATTGGTACAAAAATCAGGGGAGACTTCTAAGGTAATTTGCGCTCCTAAGAGAAAGTAGTGTCTCATGAAAGAACACTTAGTATGCCATGAAAATTAACAAACAAAAGCAATAAGGCCAGCTTCAAATTTACTTATTCATAGAACTTTTTCGCCAGAAATATATACATAGATGACACAGATGTTCAGTGTTTGGAAAATAGTTAATGTAAAAATAGTATTAAGAAACTGTATGTATGAATGTCGTGGTTATGTTAATAGCTCCTCTTGAGCCCTCTTCTGGAGCATTTAATCCATTCACTTTCGAATAATTCAGACAGAGCTGAAAACCTACTGTTTCCTCTATTGTGGTAAAAATGGAAGTCTACTACCTATTAATAAATACAAAGTCATTAATAAACCATTAATATCATGTTTTCTATTTTTTACAGCAATCATATGGTAGAGAGACTCTGTGAACGTGATCAATATGGAGAAACCTTCAGCCAGATTCTAAATCTTAATCTGGACAAGAAAATTCCTAGTGTAGTAAAACCTTGGGAATGTAGCTTGTGTGGGAAAGTCTTCATGCATCATTCATCCCTTAGTAGACACATCAGATCTCATGCTGGACACAAACCATATGAGTACCAGGAATATGGAGAAAAACCATATAAATGTAAGCAATGTGGGAAAGCCTTTGGTTCTTGTCAGTCTTTTCGAAGACATGAAAGAACTCACACCGGTGAGAAACCCTATGAATGTAAGGAATGTGGAAAGGCCTTCATCTCTCTTCCAAGTGTTCGGAGACACATGATTAAGCACACTGGAGATGGACCTTATAAATGTCAAGAATGTGGGAAAGCCTTTGATCGTCCCAGTTTATTTCAAATACATGAAAGAACTCACACTGGAGAGAAACCTTACGAATGTAAGGAATGTGGGAAAGCCTTCATTTCTCTCCCAAGTTTTCAAAGACACATGATTAGGCACACTGGAGATGGACCTTACAAATGCCAGCAATGTGGGAAGGCCTTCGACCGTCCCAGTTTATTTAGAATACATGAAAGAACTCACACTGGAGAGAAACCCCATGAATGTACTCAATGTGGGAAAGCATTCATTTCTCTCACAAATTTTCAAAGTCACATGATTAGGCACACTGGAGATGGACCTTATAAATGTAAGGTATGTGGGAGAGCCTTCATTTTTCCCAGTTATGTTCGAAAACATGAAAGAACTCATACTGGGGAGAAACCTTATGAATGTAATAAATGTGGCAAAACCTTCAGTTCTTCCAGTAATGTTCGAACACATGAAAGGACTCACACTGGTGAGAAACCCTATGAATGTAAGGAATGTGGAAAAGCCTTCATTTCTCTCCCAAGTGTTCGAAGACACATGATCAGCCACACTGGAGATGGACCTTATAAATGTACGATATGTGGTAGAGCCTTTGACTGTCCTAGTTCATTTCAAATACATGAAAGAACACACACTGGAGAGAAACCGTATGTGTGTAAGGAATGTGGAAAAGCTTTCATTTCTCTCAAAAGGATTAGAAAGCATATGATACTGCACACTGGAGATGGACCTTATAAGTGTACGGTATGTGGTAAAGCCTTTGACTGTCCTAGTTCTGTTCGAACACATGAAAGAACTCATACTGGAGAGAAACCCTATGTGTGTAAAGAATGTGGGAAAGCATTCAATTATGCCAGTTCCATTCGAATACATGAAAGAACTCATACTGGAGAAAAGCCCTATGAATGTAAAATATGTGGGAAAACATTCAGTTACTCCAGTTCCTTTCAAAGACATGAAAGAGGTCATGGTGGAGATAAACCTTATGTTAGGGGTATAGGGAATCTTTCGTTTATCACACAAGCATCAAGTACACATGAGAATGCATAGTGAAGGAAAACTACAGTGTAAAAAATATGGAAAGTCTTAGTTTACCTTCTGAGTTTTAGACTTGCTTGGGAGCTGACCCCTTCTTCCTGTCCTGTTCTCCCTTTTGGAATGAGAACATCTATTCTATGCCTGTCTCTATTGTATTTTGGAAGTACACAACTAGTTCAGTTTCACAGGTTTGCAGCTGAAGAAGAATTTTGCCTCAGCATGAATCAGGTCTTGCCCATATCTGATTTATATGATACTGAGATGATACTTTGGAGTTTAGACTTTAGAGTTCCTGCATTAATTAAGACTTTTGAGGCCTTTGGGATGGGATGAATGTGTTTTACATGTGAGAAGGACATGAATTTTGGGGGGCCAGGGGTTGAATGTTGGGACTGAGTGTATATGTATCCCCAAATTTATATGCCTCCGTTAATGCAATTGTATTCAGAGGAAATGTCTCTGGTGGTTGTTAGGATTAGATGAGATCATAAGGGTGGAGGCCTCATAAATGGGGCTAGTCTCCTGATAGGAATCCCTAGAGAGTTAATTTTGCTCTCCACCATGAGAGGACACAGTGAAAGATAGCCTTCTTTTGAATAGGAGGCAGGCCTTCACCAGACACCGAATCTGCCAGTGCCTTTATATTGGACTTCCCGGCCTCTCAAACTGTGAGAAATAAATGTTTGTTATTCAAGCCATCTAGTGTATGGTATTTTGTTTTAGCAGCCCACACTAAGACACAACCCAATTTTATTATATTTTTATTTATTTATTTGGCCAATTAATTTCTTTTTAGTAGATACGGGGGTCTCACTCTTGCTCAGGCTGGTTTCGAACTCCTGACCTTGAATGATCCACCCGCCTTGGCCTCCCAGAGTGCTGGGATTACAGGCGTGAGCCACCACGCCTGGCCTCAGACCCCAATTTTAAAATGAAGAAAGGACTTTATATAGACATTTCTCCAAATATGTACAAATGACTAACAAAGCACATAGGTCAACATTAGTCATTAGAGAAATGAACATCAAACCCATGACATTCACACCCATTAGGATTAGTACTACCAAGAAACAAGAAATGCTATGAGGGTATGGAATGATTGAAACCCTTGTGCACGGTCAGTGGCAATGTAAAATGGTATGAGCACTGTTGAAAACAGTATGGCAGGTTGTCAGAAAATTAAACATAGCAATAACATATTAAGTATTTCTACTTCTGGGGAAATAAGATTGAAAGTGAGATATTTGTACACCCATGTACATAACAGCATCATTCACAATAGGTAAAATGTGGAAGCTACTCAAGTGTTTAGTGAAAGATGAATGAATAAACAAAAGGTTTTTTATTTATACACAAAATTTCCTTAAAAAGGAAGGAAATTCTCATATATGCTGCAACATGCATGAACCTTAAGAACATTATGGTAAGTGAAACAGGCCATTCATATGAAGACATACTATGTAATTCTACTCAGATCAGGTACCTGGAGTCGTCATATTCAGTAGTGCTATTCAGTATCATTTGCCAGGGGTTAGGGAAATAGAGCAATGGGTAGTTATTTAATGGGTGTAGAATTTCAGTTTTGCAAGATGAAAAAGGGTTCTAGAGATGGGTGGTGATAGCTGCACGCCAATATGAATGTTCATTATGTCACAACTTTACACTTAGATTCAATTTTTAATTGAAGGTCCGTAAATTCTTTTCACTCAATTTTTATTTGCAAATTAGGATGACTTATTTTCCTTGTGCTTGTTTGTGATTGCTCTAGTGTTCATCATTGAGTCATAACACCATCAGTATAGTATTCTGTCAGATGCAAGCTATAAGGCTACAAGGCCCACTTGGGCATCTCACAGGGGCAACACTATGTGTCATTTGTCAATATGATGCAGCTTGGCCCAGAGGTTTCCAGGAGACAAGGCCACCTCAGCACAGATGCAACTTCCATAAACCTTAAAACAAAGCTTACCCTTACAAGAATAGCTTAAACACCGTTTATGAAGGAAATACATTGTGGCTGACCCAGACTGAATACAGGTAAGAAATGGAGAAGACTCCCAGAAACTCAGAATGGTCTCTGGACAGAGATTCTCTCAATCAGTCAGCCATCTGACCCCTGACTGTGTCTTGCCTGTGACATGGATCTGCTTCCACTATCGGTCTTGTAATAGCCCTGCCAGAATGAACTGTGTGAGCGTTAGACGGTGTGTGAGGCTCATCTTTGACATGAATTGCACAGAAGGGGAGAAGTCCCTTCTGTGGAAGGTGTTTAGCTAGGACCACATGAAACCCCTGAACGTGACAGCTTCAGATGTCCAGTGATATATGGAAATACTACTTTTCCTGTGATTCCTCTGAGTTAGGAATCAGCTTAGATTCCAGCTGCCCTTATACGTGGCTAACTGAATCTCTTTATATTGCTTCATATCAACCTCCCCCTCTTTCACATCACCCCTTCGTGTGTTTGGGTGATTGGAGTAACCATGGCATAATCCAAGCAACTAAAGTGGGGCTTTTATTTCCTGGGAAGACAGTTCAGCCGTCAGTGGCAGTGCCTTTTGGCAGTTGACAGTTTATTTCCTGTCCCTATTCGATGGCTTGAGTTCTCTGGTGGCATTCATTGGGCTATGCCTCCAACTACTGGTCCTTGTCCCTTATCTTTGCAGTTTGAAATGTGATTGTTTGGCGCTTTTTTTTCTTTTTTGTTCTTTAAAGATATTTGGCCTCAAAATTTTCTGAGTTACCCATATCCCCCATATCATTGGTAGATGTATTTTTTGCTGTCCTTGTATTCCATCTGCGTCAACTTTCAGCAGAGCGCGCGCGAGTCCTAAATTAATATACTGTTTTCACGCAGCTAGATTTTAACATAATCAAAGATCAAAGATATATTCCTACACATAAGCCATACTTCTCCTTGGGGCTCTAGGCAGTGCGTGGGTGTGTACCAAGGCCTCTTGTTGAGGGTTCAATGGCTCATAGACAAGGTTACTCTCCCACGAAATGGTTGGAAGATACTGTCTGAGGGAACTGATCATTCATGCATCCCTGATTCTTCTTGCCAAGGTGAAAGATGTAATGGCAGGGATGTTCCCTATGCTGTACACTGGCCAATTGATAGTGTCCTGCATGAGCAAGTGAGTTCTATAAGAGCACAAGCAAGATTTGCTTCTTAGGGATTTCTTCCTCCTTCCTTCTATCCTTCCCATCCTGGTTGTTTTATAATCCTCTCTTCGCTTTCCTTCCTTTCCTTTCTTTCCTTCCTGTCTGTCCCTTCTTCTCTTCTTTCCTCCTTCTTCCTTCCTCTTCCTTCTCCTTCCTCTCATCCCTTCCTCCTTCCTTCCATTTTTTAATTTTTGCATCTTTGTTTGTTGAGACAAAGTCTCACTATGTGCCTGGTAGCTATCTGACCACCCAATATGATTTATTTATTCTATTGGTGACGCCTTTTGCTTCCTTTAATCAGGGATATCTCTGTGTCTGTAACTCATCTATCCCTAGTTCCAGAATGGTGCTGGACATATGAATTTGTTACTAGTGAACCAATAATAATTCTTTCTGCTTAAACAACTTGAGTAGAGTGCAGTGGCATCATCAAGCACTGCAACCTCCAACTGCTGGGCTCAACGATCTTCCTGCTGCCTCCAGCCTCCCCAAGTACTGAGACTACAGACATTTGCTGCACCACAACACCTGGCTTTATTTTGATTATTAGTTTATTTTGTAGATAGGGTTTCACTTTTGCTCAGCTTAGTCTCAAATATGCTCAAGCAAATCCTCACTGCCTCAGCCTCCCAGAGTGGCGAATTAGAGCAATGCGCCACCGTGCCAAGCCAAGACTTTTGTTTGAAGCTAGAATCACAGGTCCACTGCACATCCAGTTATGGAGTTCTGATCTATCCAAAATCAAGAGGAAAAATGATCTCAACATGTGCCTAAGCACAGAAAGTTAACCCACATAAAGATAGAGCGGTTAATTGACTACTGGGTTTGTGTGTACCCATTGGACATGTCAACTACCACACAGTTCCCATGGGAGGCAACTGAGAGTCCATGATCCACACTTTCTTTTTCTTTTTTGCGACAGTTCTCGCTTTGTTGCAAGCTAGAGTGACGTGCCGTGGCATCAGCTTAGCTCACACGCAACTCAAATCTGGCTCAAGTGATCCTCCCTGCCTCGCCTCCCGAGTAGCTTGCGGATACAGGCATGTGCCCACCATGCCGGCTAATTTTTCTATATGTTTCTCGAGATTGGCCACATAATGTTCTTCTATTTATAAGTCAGAGACCGGGTCTCCGCTTCTTCTCAGGCTGGTTCGAACTCCTGACCCTGAAATCTGCCTGCCTTGGGCTCTCAGACCGTGGTCAGGTACGGCGTGAGCCACTCGCCCTGGCCACACCTTTTTATGATTGCATTTTTTTCTTTTTTTTTGATTGAGACAGAGTCTCTTTGTTGGCCAGGCTAGAGTGAGTGCCATGGCGTCAGCCTGGCTCACAGCAACCTCAGTCTCCGGGTCAAGCATCCTCTGCCTCAGCCTCCGAGTAGCTGGGACTACAGCATGTCGCCCATGCCCGGCTAATTTTTCTGTATTACATGATATTAGTTGGCAATTATTTCTTTCTTTTTGGTGAGACGGGGTCTCGCTCGCTCAGCTGGTTTCGAACTCCTGACCCGAGACAATCTCCCGCCTCGCCTCCCAAAGTGCTAGGATTACAGGCATGAGCCACACGTCCACGCCTTATGATTGCATTATTTCAACTTTACTGAGGGCTTTCAGAGAAAGTGTGTCTATATAAATGGTAATCACACTGGCAGGTGAATCAATAAAGGAGGAAAAGTTTATCTCTGACAAGGTTGGATCACTTCCTGCCAGGCATCCTCTTGTAAAGTATGCACAGATACCATTTTGATCACTTCCTCTCTCAATTCCCAGAGGATTGCTCATCTTTTTCAGTCCAATCAGCTGTGTAAAAAGGAAAAAAAAAAAAAGGAATTGCTCATCTTTGATATCATGAGACAAACAGCTCCATCTTAATCCACCCAAAATGCAGCAATAACTCCACCACTCCCAGGGGCAGAGAAGTGTCTCTAGAGCCCATCTGATACAGAGATGGAAGCTGAGGGAAGATCCAATCGAGTGATCTGAGTGGAAAGAGAAAGAGGGCCCATTGTTCAACCAGGGCCCATTGTTCAACCATAATACAACAAAAACCACTGCTAGCAGTAGCATCCTCAATCAATAGTATCCCACACGCTATAGGAAGAAAAGTTCTCTGGAGGTTCAGCAATGACAATAAAGAGATGGAGAAAATGTTTCCATTTTATTATCTGTGTTTCCTCTTGTTTTTAAGAAGTATGTGCAGGCTGGGCGGGTGGCTCACACCGTATTGTAGCACTCTGGGAGGCTGAGGTGGACAGATCATTTGAGCCCAGGAATTCAAGACCAGCCTGAACAAAAGTGAAACCCCATCTCTACTAAAAATATAGAAATTAGTTGGAGAATTAAAAAATAAAATAAATAATTAGCTTGGCATGGTGGCACATGCCTGTAGTCTCAGCTACTCAGCAGGCTGAGGCAGAAGGATTGCTTGAGCCTAGGAGTTTGAGGTTGCTGTGAGCTAGGCTGACAACACGGCATTCTAGCCCAGGCAACAGAATGACACTGTCTCAAAAAAAAAAGTTAAAAG